TATTTGCCGTTCATGTGCAAAAACTTTCCTGCAGTGACCTCATTAGACATTGTGAGAAGCTGTGAAATCAAGAAGTAAGAAAACAAAAAAATAATTTCTCTGCATGTGCCTATAGACAGTATCTGGCTGGGAGTGCGTGTGCGTGCATATCTGTGATATCAACTAAGCATGCTGCATATGCATGCAGACAGTTTTGGTCCACTTTTGCACTGAGTAGCGGACTATGGGGTTCTTACTTGTTCTCGAGGATACAAGCAAAGACAGCTACCTTTTCTCCATTAGCACTTCCCAGCACATAGCAGCCCATAATGTGGATGAGGTTGGGCTCTGGGTTCAGCTTGCTCATCAGCCTGCTGAGTCGCCGCCAGAACCTGGTCACACAGGAGAGGTGAGAGGTGACGACAATCAGCATAGGTAAGGGTTAAGGTTACGATAAAATACTATTTATTGCCAGTGTTTAAACAGATTAGCTTGCAGATTAAGAAGTAACTCTTTTTTTTGCTTTCAATAGCCTGTGTGATTTTTTCTATTATAATGCAGATTTGATGCTTATGGTCTGTCAATAGTGAGCAACACTGACTAGACCTGTGTTACAAATAAAAACCTGTAATCATTAAGCTGACCAGCTCTCAGCATAACACAGACTCAAACTAGACTTCCCTTATAAAGACCAAATATTATGGTGCTTTAGGTACCGTATTTTGGTAGTACAATGTTAATGACAATGTCACCAAATTGGGATTCCACCCACTTGGGTGGTTTTAAGGTTAAGCTAAAAGTTTAAAACTACAAGTGCACTCAAGAATGCATGTATTACACCCTATCAGACCCCATACCTTTAAAGACAGTCACCTCCACAGTAGTCAACCGTGGTGCACATTAAGACTACTTAAACTTTCTTTTGCATAATACTATCTAAAACAGATTACTGCAAAGCTGAAGGACCCTGCTAAAACGAAGAAGCAAGAAGTTGAGGTGTCTGCCTATGGTTAAGGTTTTCAAAGTGGGTTTACATGAAAAACAGTCATCATATATTTAAATAACAGTCTTAAATATTTAAAAGTTAGATAACAGATAGCTAAAATACTCAATCTAAGGACAAAACATTTGTTCCTGTTTCAGTCGTATTTGCCTGCCTTGTTATCTTGTAACTGCAAAAAAACAAAACAAAAAAACCCTTCAAAGTCCAATAGAGATCAGGAGCAGAATCTCAGCTCACACATGAAAATATACTGGTGTGTGTGTGGGCAAATTAAAAAGAAAAGTGAGAATGAAAAGTTAATTTGTTTCATTAAACCACTATTAATGCAAATTGCATGTGGCCTGGAATAACTCTAATGCACTTTATATATTTTATTTTTATTGATGTCTGTTCCAATATTTTCTGGTCCCAGGCCTCTTGATGGTTCAATACTCCAAGTAATGATTAAGTTTGTAACAGCAGATGCAAATCAGACTATTTTCTTTCAAGTTCAAATTTCAAATGCCATTTGAAATGAATATTTTCAGACCACAGCAAGGACCGCAGTCTTGACTATGAGCATCCCTCTTTGCGAATCAGACTGTACTCATCTAAGCTTACACAGATCTTCTGTTGTTTTTGTGTTCATTTGAATTTGGCAGTTGCGACTTTAACCACATTATCCTTTGAAGAATTTTCCTCTTGGTTTTGCTGTGGACATTTCCACAACTGTATTAATTATATTCACAATGAGAGGAGCAGAACCCATTTAAATTAAACCATGTACAAAATGTAAAAAAAAATCTTTATGTTATGTTATGATAAACAATCAATGCTTGACTTATGACCTATAAGTTATAACCTATAACTTTACTCTTTTGCTACGAATGTAAAATTAATATTAATGCACTGGAGTGAATTCTGTCTCTTCTTTCCATTTCTTTTCATAAACTCACTGTTTGTTTCTTCACCCGTACTTTACAAAAAAACATATATCCTTCCCTCAGGCGAGACTTACTGGATCATATCTTCTTCTTTCTCCACCTTGGCAAAGGTTGCCACTTTATTCTTCAGCAGGTATAAATGTCCCGGACCTCCCTGCAGAAAGGTGTCTGTGTTATGATAGACAACGTTGTACCGTACGCTGTAGACTTGAAAACTGATGGGGTTATTCCATCGCATACACAAAACTGTGAAAATGTCTTGAGCAGCTCCTCATTTCTTCATACTTATCTTCAAAGCAAACAGGCTTTTTAAATTGTTCTAGAAGACAGGCTCTCCAGGTTTTCTGAAGATTATTCAAAGTTAGCAGCCTTTTTGCAAAAACAAATCTTTTTTTTTTTTTTTTAGATAAATCTTTGAAAAATGTCAAAGATACCACAGGTCAACTGACATAAAATAGTACTGTTGCAACAACAATACAAAGACATAAAAACATTGAATATCTCACCATAGTGTTCAATGTCCTTAAAAAAAACAAAGAAAAAATTTGACAAGTGGCAGACTGTGGTGCTATCCCTCAGCTTCCGAGTATTACCTGTATTTGAAAATTTTGTTGGAATTCTGATCCCAAAAAAAAAATCTGAAAAGGCTAAATTATGTGCATTAAAATCCTGTCTGGACAGTACTATATAACCACTATTAATTGATGTGATGAAGAGAATACACACACTAATAATTTCATTCAGGGATATCACTTATCAGTCAGTTTGTAATTAGTGGTTAGAGGACTATTGTGACTTAATAGAATGCTATTTTAAAGGGACATGTGACACAATGATGTCAAAATATTTTCATACTCTGTCTTCGTTTTCACTCACCTGGCAGAAAATGAGCATGTTCCAGATTTTACAGCCTTTCCTGTAGGCAGTCAGCTTCTTCTCGATCTCCTCTGGGTGAGAGAGAAAGAGAGGTGTCACTTTTCCCACTCAGCCATAATGGTGACACACACAAATTGGCTGTCCCTTGAGACACACACACACACACACACACACACACACACACACACACACACACACACACACACACACACACACACACAGGGGAGTGGAAAAACAATGAGTCATCTGTGCACTCCAGCAAGATGAAACTTATTCCACCCTCATCCTGTCCACATTTACGCAGAGTAATTTTCACTTGAGGTCTAAGATTAAAAAAGAAAACAAGTATTGCACTCACCCAGAATGTCATCAAATGTGGCATGTTCATGGTCCTTTAAATAAAATGGAGAAAAACAAAATTATTCATTCAAAAACTGAATCTAAAAGGACAACAAGCTTTTTTCTGAGTGCTGACTCTAACAGATTACAACATGATACACTTTAACACCTAATAGAGTCTCTATTCTGTACAGCAGCGCAAAAGTTCCTCAGGTAAGGACCCCACCAAACAGTAAACCTGGAGAATAATAAGTTGTTAATGATAAAAATACCAATCAAATTTACAGTACACAATAATATAAGTTAATGATGATATTTTAGGCTAACTTCTTCTATCTTTTCAAACCACTGAGTGAGATTTGTTTCTGATTAGTTAGCTGTTGCTGTATCTTTGCTAATATCTATCCACTCGGGTCACAGGGGCAAGAGCCCAAGATGAGAAGACCAGGCCTTCCTCTCCCTGGCCACTTCCTTCAGCTTGTCCGAGGGAACACCAAGGCGTTCCCAGGCCAGCTGAGAGATATAATCTCTCCAGTGTGTCCTGGGTCTGCCCCGGGGCCTCCTCCTGGTGGGACATGCCCAGAACACCTCACCCAAGAGGCTCCCACCCAAGATCCCCGAACCATCTCAACTGGCTCCTTTTGATGAGGAGGAGTAACGGCTCTACTCTGAGCCCCTACTGGTTGGCCAAACCCCTCACCCTATATCTAAGGGAGAGGCTAGCCACCCTTTGGAGAAAGCGCATTTCCATCACTTGTATTCGTGATCTCATTCTTTCGGTCACCACCCAAATGTTGTGACCATAGATGAGGGTAAGGACGTAGATCGACTAGTAAACCAAGAGCTTCACTTTTATCCTTGCTCTCTCTTCATTACAATGGACCGGCACAAGATACTTAAACTCATCCACTTGGGACAATAACTCGTACCTGACCCAGAGTGGACTCTCACCCTTTTCCGGCTAATGGCCATGGCCTCAGAATTCTCATTCTTGTCGCTTTACATTCAAGATTCTCCAGTCTGAGCTGGAGGCCACCACCTGATGAAGCTAACCAAACCTCATCATCTTTAAAGAGCAGCGTTGACATTTTGAGACCACCTTCCAAGGGACTCCTTCTTCAGAATGAAGGCTTCAAGGTTCAAGGTTCTTTATTTGTCACATGCACATGCATGCTCCCTTCACCTGCGGTGACCACCACTGCGACAAGCAGCTTGGAGCTGCAACTCAGTGAACCAGTTTTAGCAATGGTGGTACTGAACATGGTCCATTTATCCCCAGTCTCCTTCTTTGCTTTGCTAGTTTGGATATGTTCTGTAGTTCTGTATTCTTAGTGTCAAATGCTAGGAGAAAAAAAAGACAGTGGTCACATTAATTTGCGCTATACAAGTTTTAAAACTACTATATGTGTTGAAACCAGATATAATGACCATGAGGTGGATTTGACTGCGAAACTACAAAATCATTGCTGAATAACTTGTGATTCAAAAGTTGCTAGCAAATGAACATACGCTGCATAGTCATTCATTGTGATTCTTAGAAGGACCACAGTTCACAAGATAAACTTAATGTTGCATTTATGATTACCCACAACTAGTTATTGAGTCCATGAACCAGAGGTGGGACCAAGTCATTGTTTTGCAAGTCTCAAGTAAGTCTCAAGTAAGTCTCAAGTAATGTCAGGCAAGTCAGAGTCGAGTCTCAAGTCACTGGTGTAAAAGTCCGAGTAAAGTCACAAGTCTGAAATTTTGAATTTCAAGT